GCACGCGAGCACCGCTCAGCCTGAGGGGCTAATATCCCCCAGCCAGTGAAAGTACCTGTGAACGCCTCACATCCGACACTGGATCTGACTGCTCCTCAGCCTCTTCTTTTTTACAACAATTTTATTTAAATTTATTTATTTTATTTTAAATTTGATCAGAGAGGGACAGAGTAAGGGGGAAGAGGGCGAGGGGAGGAGAGAGAAGAAAGTGAAAAAGCAAGCCGCCGGTTCAGGACTCGAACCATGGTTGGCCATGTGGGAGTACAGCAGTCTTAAGTACCACGCCACCTGCCAGTCCCTCATTTTTATTTTTTAAAAAAGAAATTATTGGGACCAGAAGTTAGCGTAATTGTTATGTTGCTGAACTCCCATCTAGGCAACTGCAGATCTTCGAGTTCCGGACCTGGTGGCTTAAACTCACGCTGGGTGCGTGTGCGTGCGTGTCCAAGATCCTGAGAGGAGAAAGGAGAAGGGATTGCGGCGTGGCCATCCCCCCCGGGGGGTGGGTGTGATTTTTCGTTTTCTATCTCTCTGTCTGACTCTGTCTTTCTGGCGAGCGCACATGCCCCATAGCAAAAAAACCCCTCTCCGACAACAACAAAAAAAGGAATTATTTAATTTTACTTGTCACCATTTTTTTTAAAGAATTCCTAGTTTTGTTCCATTTTTCATGAACTTAAAAAAAAATATTTATTTAATTTTATTTATTCATTTTTTTAAAAAATTTGATCAGAGAAAGAGAGAGAGAAAGCGAGCGAGCGCACGCTGAGAGCGAGAGCGAGCTGCTAGGTCTGGGACTCAAATCGTGGTCAGCCATGTGGGAGTGTCCAGTGCCTTAACCACCATACCACCTGCTGGTCCCCAGTCATCATCATTATTTTTTAAAAATTTTGACCAAAGAGAGAGAAAGAGAGAGAAAAGAAGGGAAAGTGAGACAGCAAGCTGCCAGGTCTGGGACTCAAACCATGGCTGGCCATGTGGGAGTCTATTACCCTTACCACCATGCTACCTGACACCAACCCCCCTTTAAAGGAATTATTTATTTATTTTTATTTGTCATTATTATTTCTTTTTTAAACTACTCATCTTCTGGATGGGTGAGTACTTCAATTTGCTGGAACCATCACAGAACAGAAACGGAAACACGAACCCCAAGGCAGCTGACAGCAGAACACAAAGCCTGATTCTGCCCACTTCTTCCGGATTCCTCCGAGAAGGACCTCTCTAGGAGTTCTCCACGGTTTTCTGCCTCTATACCCCTGAGGGCTACAACAGACTCCTGGCAGGGAGCCAGGAGTCTGTTGTTGGCTCTTTCACTCCTGCGGTGAGTCTCAACCATCAGGCCAGGCCCTGGTCAGCGCCCCAGAAAGAACTCTAATTCTGGACTAACACCTGGCAACTGGCATCAGAGACCAGATTTCAAAACCCACCCTTTCATACAGTCTGCTGCAAGCTTGTGTGAAGAAAGTTAGGAATGTAGGGTACCTTGTCACCTTGGCCCAGGTTCTCCGATTTGACCTCGTATAAAGTTTTCCAGTTGGTGTTGCTTCCTATACCTCCTCCGCTCTTCAGATCAGAGATGGAAACACCATCTAAGGCTTGTCCTTCTGAGTCGAACCTAAACGAATATGCAAATGACAGGTACTTCATAGAGCTCGCAAACGTGCTGCTTGTTTCTATATGCCAGAGAGAAGTTACTGTCCCCTCACCCAACTCCCACATGGGTCAGTCACGGGGGCTGAAGTTAGTCTCTTCCTAATGTTAAGTCCACTGAAGAAATGGAATGACCTTTCTTTTGATCTCAATTGCTTTGATGCCCCCCAGTGGTCAAGACAAACAGTGTCAAAGTACCACAGAACCTTTTCTTAAATTAGCCTTGAGAATCAACAGTGGCTGGAGGGCCCAAGGCCTAAAAACAGTAACTGTCAACAACCAGAGAGCTCCAATGCAGACCTCTGTGTAGTCCTCTGGGCCACTAAGGCTCACTCTCAGTCAGCAGCTGACTTTTGATCGTCACTGAGACACATTAGTATGAAAAGGGACAGTCAACGTGTTGTACTAGGTTGGCAAAAATGTTTCCATGGTGAAAGATCTTTTAAGTTGGCTATATATAGTCTAAATGATGATATAACCAAGAGTAATTTATCAAAAGGCATTAATTTGTTATCTTGGAGATTTGTCTTCTTAGTGACATTTCACTTATGCCAATATTAAGGTTAAATTAATTTGTAGTAAATTATTATTAATGTTGAATATACTTTTCAAAAAAGCTTTACTTGTTTATTCTACAAGCAAGAAAGACAGAAAGAGAGAACCACCAACAGGTTCTCCACACCACGACACATGCACCTACAGTTTCCGTCAACCCAGATCATGGGCACAGGAGTGTTAGGATGCTCAGAGAAGTCTCTGGGCATGAACTCGGAACCTTCCCATGTGGGTCAGCCTAGTGGTGTCATATTTTACTACTGCTCCACCATCTGGCCCCATTATACTTCTTGATCCCCTATCAACTGACATAAAGAAAATGAGACCAGGACAAAGTGGCTCAGGAACAGGCTTGTAGCAGAGAACCGTCCGTCTGTGGTTAGAAACAAGCCCACCATCATCCGAGAGGTGGATAACTAACAGCTAACCACGTGTAGAACAGGCTCCTTAAAAACGGAGTGGATGTCGCCCTCCGCCGCGGACAACTGCCTCCTCATTCCATCAGGTAAAGGCTAAATCCGTCACAGAGGCAAGGTCCATAAATCTGTTTCCCCACCACTAGCTACACAAGTTTATGGTTTCAAAAACTCCAAGGAGACATTTGCCACCAAAGACAGCTCATCAGGAGTCAACAGAGCAAGGCGAGAGGCAGCCCTCCTACAATAAAAATCCCGCATTGTTACAGCCAAGATCTAAACAGCTCTAATCCTTGCCTGGGCGGGGGGTGTGCACTAAACTTCTCTTTGATCAATGCCAAGTTATTTCATTTTGGGGACAGCTGTGTCTTTTTATGTTGACTGGGATCACAGTTATTGACAAGCAAAGTATGAAGACCTTAAATGTGGGCATGCAATTAACCCGGGGTCAAGCTCCAGAGTCTGAAAGAGAAACAAGCAGTAAGAAGAGACCAAAGCTGTGGTTGTTTCTGCTCAGACTATTCCCTGTCCCTGCCCGCAGTGCAGTGTTGGCTAGGAACACTGTGAACTCTGAGATGTGCATGGCCCTGGTCTCGGGGATGGCTTCAGTGACATGGACACTCCAGTCGGTGTTTCAGGAAACTGCTCGAATATGAGCGCTATTGGTTCACATTAGACTCCAACGGAAGTGAGGAAGCTGTAGTATGAGCTAATTCTTAGTCCCTAAGACACAGGTGGAAACCGACACCCCCCACACACACACTCTATAGCCATACAAATGATTTAAGCTTGGGCTAGTTGGAGTGTTTTTCCTGACCACATCAATTCTTGCATACCACGTTTCAGTTAGAAGTGCTCTTTCAAGGCGGAGATTTAATGTCCTCAATAGCTAGACACAGCGAGGAGATTTTAACAGGCTCTCCTCATCCTTTCAGTGCTCTGGGAATAACAATATAATGCCAACAGAAAGCCCATTGTTCTCCAGACACTGTATCAGAGTCTGGTGAATACACACTAGAAGATGTGATCGGCACCCAAGTCTTGACAGAATAAGAAAGCGTCTTCTCCCGCCACACCACAGAAGCCCGCGGCTTAAGCCGAGGAGAGAACGACGCCCTTGGCTTCCGGCACTCAGCACACGGCTGCAAAGCCTGGCCGCACCCTGCCTGGGCGAGACCCAGGTCAGCACGCCGCGCTCACAGTCTAATCGCCTCATCTGACTCCCCAGGTGTGTCGCGGGGTTACAGGTCTTGGCAGTTTAAGGGCTTGACAGCCCTCCTCTCAGGAGGCGTAATGCCTCTGAGAAATACGGCAACGGCTCCGTTCAGCAAAGGCTTCTGCTCAGCAAAGCGCTCACATGTGATCGTGATCTGCTCTTCTCGAAGGCCAGGCTCGAATAACCCCTTTGTTTAGCCCCATAGAACCTACCATCCACGAAGTTTATAGGCCTCTGGGATGTCAGGATTCATAATGACAGTGCTTGAAGATAAGACAGAGAGGCTCCGGCCACCAAAATCCGAAACTCTGGCACCTTTGACAGCCAACACGGGCTGTCTAGAACCATCAAATTTATCAGCCTGCAAAACAAACACCAAACACACACAAGCGTCACTGGCAGGAAGAACACAGAAGGTTTTTATGGAGAATGGTCAGTAGTAGAGTGACTGCAATCAAATCTGTACAAGACAGGTCTCACACCAGAACCTGCTCAGAGCCACATCGAAACTACCCTCTCACTATTCCAGACTTAGAGGAAAGAGCACTTGACTATGTGAAACTTAAATCACACCAGATCTCGCAGAAGCAAGATACGAGATTCCAAGTATTTGCGGGACAAGACGACCCTTCACCACAGACGTGGCCGAAGCCCCACGGCTCACAGGACAAGACAACTACATGCTCTGGCTGCTCGACACAAAGCACTTACATCTTCTCCCCAAAGAGTAGTGGTCACCACTTTCCCTGACGTGTCCATCAAATAGATATTTCTCTTAGAGACTTCTCTGTTGGTAGATTTCACTGTGATTTTAGTGGCGTCTTCGTAGCTCTTGCAGACCCCTATTATGTCTAAAACACAGGCACAGCGGGTTAGCAGAGGATGGTCAGGCGCCCAGTGTAACACGACCCAAGGTTAAAAGGCAAGCACGTTGGTCTCACAGCTCCCCTACGCACTGCAAGCCAGCGAGCCGAAAATCACAGCCTCTGTCCTCATCCGCGGACGTACCTACGAGCGAATCTTTAGACTTGCTCTCTAGCTCATCGATCTTTGTGAAATCAAACTGAACAGTAGGTAAGTGATGATCATCTTCACAGGGCATGACAGAAGTCTCATTATTGAAGGTCATCTCATAGTCGTTTTTAACAGTCGTGAATTGTTTGTTGGCAATCTTCAGGGTGCCTTTTGAGAAATAATACACCTGCAAAAGAGGCAAGCCGTGGAACGTGGGACAACCCATCAAATCAGACGTAACGAACCCTTACCGCCACGCAACTGTCTGGTGGATGGGAGTCCCCTCATTCTCACCCCACCATCCACCATCCACCTGTTCTCAGTCCTAAAACACCACCACCGTACCTTGTTCACTTCGATGAGGGGAAAGAACTTGTCCACTTGCTCATTGAAAGCAGTAGCTCTGATTTCACCCTGCAGAAGCAAGAGAAAGCAGGTTACCTTGGGGTACTTGGTGTCAAGTTAGACTAGCGAAAAACACATCCCGTTAGCATCAAAATGACATCTTTCGCACTAGGACCTGTGGACGCTACGGACATCTCAGAAACACACGCGTTAGTCACAGACTCAGTCGCTCTGGCGCACGGAACACGAGAAGTTCGACTTGCTGAACCTGTAGTCATGTTGTATTAACTTCGAGGAAGAAACTTAAAGCAAAATCCCCAAACACCAGCGAGTTTAATATTCTGACAATAAAAACCCAAAAAAGTTGGCTGCTTAGCCGTCCGACCAGAGTCCCGGGGAAACGTGCTGAACCTTGACGACCGGCCGGCGTGCCTCAGTGGACACTCTAAGCGTTGGGTTCCCCTTCAGGAGTGAAGTTACGCCTAAACTGTGCTGTCGTGTTTTCAAGTTGCTTATGATCTGTGTTTTGCTTTTACTTTTCTGCCAAAATGCTAAAGACGGGAAAGAAACTTAAACAAATGGCTGACATTTTAGCTGCCTGCTATAGATGAGACTCATAGATAGTAAAAAAATAAATAAATAAATAAGGTTCTGATACCAATTCTGCCACCACACCAGCATTTGGGGTGTTACATCATCTTCTAAAAAAGGGGGGAAAAAGCAACTATATTTTCCTGTTCTCTTGGGGGTTTGAACATAGCAGTTTTTAAAGAATGTTTGAAGTACCTTTTAGAAACCAGTGGGCAGAGGAGGGACCAGCAGTTAGTGTAATGGCTGTGTTGCTGAACTCCTATGTAGCCAACCGCGGTTCGAGTCCCGGACCTGGTGGCTTAAACTCACACCAGGCGCATGTGCGTGCATGCCCAAGATCCTGAGATGAGAATGGAGGAGAAGGGATTGCAGTGTGACCATCCCCCTGGGGGGTGATTTCTCGCTTTCTGTCTCTCTCTGTCTTTGTGGCGAGTGCATGTGCCCTATAGCAAACAAAACAAAACACCCACCTCTCCAAAAAAAAGAAAAAGAACTGTCAAGATTCCATGGCTTAGGGGACCAGCAGGTGGCATGGTGGTTAGGGTGCTGGACACTCCCACATGGTTGACCACGGTTCGAGTCCCGAACCTGTCAGCTTGCTTTTTCAACCTGGCTCTCTGTCTCTCTCTGGTCAAATTAAAATAATAAAATAATGAATAAATAAAATAAATAATTATTAAAAAAAAGTTTCTTTAAAAAAAAACAAAGATTCCATGGCTTAGAAATGGTTTATCTCATGATCTCGGTTTTGTTCATTTTAAATAAAGCATACAGTGAGTCTGCAGTCGGAAGCTCTTTCCCACAACACCATGCACTTCACGAGGTAGCAGTGCCCTCCGTGGTGGCCCAGAGCCCCGCTTTGCTGGTGAGCAGCTATCAGAGCCTAGGGCTTCAACTAAACCTGCTGGCAAATCAGACTCAGTGTCTCCAGGGTCTCCTGTTTCTGAGGCTACTTATACATTTAGAAAACCAATTTCTGCTGTTATTTTTTTAACGCTTTCTTCAAGAGCAAGGCTTTTACTTATGACCTTTAACCCTCTATCCCCAGATAGCACCAAAAGACAACAGAGGGAGGGAACAGCAGATGTCATAATGGTTACACCACTGGACTCCCACATGACCAATCACAGTTCAAGTCCCAGACCTGGAGACTTGAAATTCACGCCAGGCGCATGTGCATGCGTGCCCAAACTCCCAAGAGGAGGATGGAGGAGAAGGGACTGTGGCATGGCCATTTCCCCAGGGGGTGGTTTCTCACTTTCTCTTTGGCGAGTGCACGTGCCCTATAGCAAAAATCTCTCTTAAAACAAGCAAACAAAACAGAGCAAAGACCGGTCTTTGTGTTTCTTTCCCACCTACTATCATTTTCACCTCATAGGTCTGCAGAGCTGAGCCCTCTGCTTCCCAAAGAATCCGCTATTCCCGTCTCTCCACTTGGCAATACTCACAGTTTCATCGACTAGTTCTATGGCGAAAAGCTTCCCTTCCCCTCGGGAATTGCTCCAGGTCCGGATCTGACTTTTGTTGGTAACACGAGCACAGATGGTCCACCTAAAAACCAAGTAGATTACATTAGTGTTTAGAGTCTTACTTGGAAAAGGTCAAGTAAGAACCCACCTTCCTATGGCCTTTCCTCTGCATATTCTATTGTTCAATGTTAGCTATATTTTAATCCAGCTAATTAAAACCCTAAGATGACAAACGGCCTTGACAGACTACAGAATAAGCAAATAGTAAAACATGCAAGGTGTTTTTTTTTTATTCTCTTTTGTAATTGAGATTTATTGGCTGTGTCAAGGATTAGTACAGATGTTTCGATTTGTACCAATTCTTAACATACGTACCAAACATTTAAAAAGCCAAGTATAGTGATGCTTTTTAAGTTATTCCAGTGACATTCCAACTTCAAATTTGTAGGCAAATTTTCCTTAAGAGGGTATCAAGAACCACTGTCTTCAGATGTTGAAAGTTGTTATGTAAGTCCCATCAAATCACAATTTAGTAGCATACACACTACATACTTCAAATTTCCAGTCTTTCACAGCACAGTAACGGAATTATTAGGAAAACTGGACTACCACAACTAAAGATGTTACAGAATGCACACAATTCTGACAGGGAGAGCAACAATCAAAGAGTGGTTTTCTTTAGGAAACAATACTACTAAAAAACATAATAGAAGTCATTTAAAATATTCAAGACACATTAAATGCATGACTGTGACTCCAAACTGACATTCAGTATGCTTTGTATTTAGGATATAAAAACTTACCCCCCCCATGGAATGTTAAGCTGACACGTAAGAGAGTCAAAGCCTCCTAGAAGTCAATATCCCACTATTTTCTGGTTGTACTGAAAAATAAACAACCACTAAATGATTTCACCTCTTAAAAAAAAAAAAGCATTTACACTTAAAAAATGGATGAGGTGGGATTTTCTCCTTCTTAAAAATGTTCCTAGAGCGGGAACCAGCAGTTAGCATAATGGCTATGTCGCTGGACTCCCACGTAGTTGACCACGGTTCGCGTCCCGGACCTGGTGACTTAAAACTCACGCCGGGCGCATGTGCGTGCGTGCCCAAAAAAAAAAAAAAAGTTCCTAGAGCTACTAAAAAACTTGCATTTACAAAATAGTTGATAAAAATATTCCTCTGGATTGTACAAGAAGGGAGACAGGGACCATTGATAAGACATGGGATAGGACATTACTCAGACTTGACTTCTTTCTCGCCTGCTTCATCAGAGGGTGGACTCTCATTTTTAGTTTCTCCGTTTTCTGCAGGTAAATCTTCTTTAGTGTCTCGGTTGGCCACTTCAGCCTGTTTCCCCTTTGCTCCCCTTTTCCCTTTTGTTTGCACTCTTTTGTCTGAAGATTTATCCTTCCCTCCCGCCTTTTTTGGCTTGTCTCCAGTTCTGCAGGAGGTTTGGCTGACGACCTTGCCAATCTCCTTGTGGGCTCTTCCTTGGCCGCCCCCTCTGCGGAGCTGACCTTCCTCTTGGGCATGCTGGCTGTGGACAGGGTGCGTGCTGGGTGCCTGATGAGGCCGTGGCGCGCCTAGAGCCTTGGCGGAGTTGAGCAGATAAAACCACCCGCTCCTCCCGCCACCCGAGCTGCTCCATGCAAGGTGATTTAACACTAACTCATTCTCCTGTCAAATAAGTAAATTTATAAACTCTCTCCCTCCTCCAAAAAGCATCACCAAGGCAACAATATCCCCTTAATGAAAGGTTCTAAGTTGGAAAATGCAGTAATACCAGCAATTACATTTTGCCACTATTTTCAATGATGGGAACTGATATAACTGGTGTCGAACTTCGGTCTCATTTCTAATGCAACTGAATAAAAATACATGGCGTTGGTGAGCCACCAAAGGAAAACACTAAAGCAGTGTGACCTTACAGAGAGGCCAGAGACCAAGGAGGCCCAGATCTGAGATCCAGCGCTGGTGCCCACCTTGAACAAGGGTGCTGGACGTACTAGTTCCCTTACTTACAATTTCACAGGAGAAAATGGCTTCCCTACATTCTACTGAAGAATAAATAAAAACCTAACTGAAAGCATTCTGAGGAAAGAACTCACTCATTTTCAACTGCTCACCTAAATTTTTTTCTTTATTCATGACAGATTGCATGCATACAGACTTGAGAGTGAGAGATGGGGGAGGGGGAGAGAGAGACAGAGAGTAAGAGAGAGAGAGAGAAGCGCCCTCTGCAGGGGCTGGTCCCGTGGAGATCCCCTCCCCCCAGTTCATCAGCTCGCGGGCACTCGAGTGCCCAGCAGGTCTCAGGCTGACCAGACCAGGGACCGCAACCATGGTTACTGTGTGGCATCCAGCTTCTCTTGGGCAGCCTATTACTGCTGCACTATAGAGCTGGCACTCCAATTAATTTTTAACAGCAAAAAACGCGGCAAATAAAAGAAATACACGTTCAGAGCATATTAACTTTGTTAATACAAATAGTGCAGATCACAGTAACAATTTTCAGATTAGTACATCTAATCACAGTAACAACTTTTGGACTAAGAGTCACCTATTTATATATGAGAAGACGAAATGCCTTCTGTATTAGCACACGCACGTGTTTTTTTCACTCACGAGACTACCAAATGATTCTTTCATCACTAAATATTCTTAACTTCAACTTCTCTCAAGGTGAACAAAAACTCACAAGCTATGGTAGATTGTTATTTCTGTCATTCTTGTTGAGAAGTCAAAGTTTGCCAGAATTTATACCCTTTGCCCCCTGCCAAAAAGAAAAAGAAGGCAGGCAACCCATTCTATGTGGTGGTGACCCTGAAGTTCAGGTGTAACTCAAGAGTCCATGGTAACTTTTTTTTTTTTTTAAAGGCTTTTGCCATAGGGTATGTATGCTGAGAGACAGAGAGAGGGAAAGTGAGAAATCACCGCGTAGGGGGGATGGCCACACCACAGTCTCTTCTCCTCCATTCTCCTCTCAGGATTGTGGGCATGCACACACACAAACGCCCAGCATGATTTGCAATATGCTGGGTCTGGAACTCAAACCACGGTCAGTCATTTGGGAATTCAGTGCCTTGACCACCACACCACCTGCTGGCCCCCCATGATAACTTCTTATACCACTTTGTCAGGACATTCCAAACTTACTTGGATTGGTAAGGGGTGAGGCTGGCAATGGGCACCACTTTGGACTGTGTGCCCCCAGAAGTGTTGGACAGGCTGGCACCTCCAGCTTTCCCAAATATCTTTGAGGCACCGTAAGCCTTAGATGTACTGGAAGCTTGAAGACACAAAGAAAAAGGACAATCACTGTTCTACTTAACTTTTATAATAAGTTTTACAATAACTCTTGATTACAGAGGTACCACTAGTGTAATTATACAAAATGAGAGGCAAATGTTTTTCCTTTTTAGTATCCAAGAGATATGGAGATCAAATAGAGACTGAAGCAAAAGGCTAGAAAAAGCAATCTCGAATGAAGCCCAGGCACACGGAACTTCACTATTATATTTGCTGACTTAAGCCCTGAGAGCAAGATAATAGTGGTAATGAATCCAGACACGGCTCTTTCAGAACTCCACCCTCTTAAGCTTTGCTCTCACATCAATGGACAAGATAATGGGTCAGACAAAGAAAATCCACTTTCTTGACGGGCAGAACTGATGGCAAGTCACTGCTGCCTAAGAAGAAAAGCAGAAGAAAAGGCCAGGATGGAAGGGACCCGTGGGTGAACCATCTGAGGTGTAGGATACTCATCACAAATGCATCACTTCGGAACATCCCCAGAAAGGGACCAGCAGTTGGTGTAATGGCTGTCGCTGGACTCCCATGTGGTTAACTGTGGTTCTAGTCCTTGACCCAGTGGCTTAAACTCACGCCGGGCAGTGTGCGTGCGTGCCCAAGTCCATGAGAGAAGAATAGAGGAGAAGGGATTGTGGCGTGGCCATACCCCCTGTGGGGTGATTTCTGGTTTTCTGTCTCTCTGTCTCTCTGGCGAGCGTACGTGCCCTATAGCAAAAACCTCTCTCCAAAAAACCTCTCCACAAACAAAAAAACCCCAGAAAACCCTCAGCTCTCAACTAGTCTACAGGACTACTAAGTCTGAAATGCAATCTGTAAGTCTGAGTTTGGTTGGTAGTAAAGGGCAAGAATCAGTTTTTGATCAAAATGTGTATAGGTGGGTGGCCACTATGACCGCCTTTTTAAGAATTATTCTATTGAATTTTATTTATTTATTTATTGTTTTTGGGGGGGAGAGGTTTTTGCTATAGGGTGCATGCGCTCACCAGAAAGACAGAGAGAGATAAAGAGACTGAAAGTGAGAAATCACCCCCCAGGGGGAATGGCCACGCTGTAATCCTTTCTCCTCCCTTCTCCTCTTGGGTATGCACGCACATGCGCCCGGCATGAGTTTAAGCCACCAGGTCTGGGACTCGAACCATGGTTGACTACATGGTAGTCCAGAGACATAGCCATTACACCAACTGCTGGTCTCCATTTATTTATTTTAATTTGACCAGAGAGGGACAGAGTGAGAAAGAGAGAGAAAGGGAGAAAGCAAGCCACCCGTTCTGGGACTTGAACCATGGTCAGCCATGTGAGAGTCCAGTGCCCTTAATCACCATGCCACCTGCAGGCCCCATTCCCTGTACTCCTTTACACAGGCCTAAGTGGCTGCCCTTCATTTGGAAAACATAGGATTTAATATAGATGCATTCCTTTACATGCATACTGCGCCTGGAAAGCTTCAGCCTCCGAATGCAGATAATGTAATTTTGTTCAACGATCTCATACCTTTTCTAGCAAAACATTTCATTGGAATATAATTTGGCTAAAAAATATAAATCCACGGTTTATCCTGCATTTATTTATTGAGTTTCCATGGCACACTATTCTAGATATTTGTAGCACTTAGTAAAAAATATACGTAAGAGTGTCCCAGATCCTAAAAATTTTCTAATGTAACTGGGGAGTCATGGGAAAACAATACACACACAACAGAAATAACTACCTCAAGATCACGCAAAGAAGCACACGTACTGATAGAATTTATGTGTGTGCACACACATAACATACAATATACAATTTTATAAACACATGCACACAGGCATTCGTTCATCCCGTGTGTGTGTGTGTGGTTCTAGACAGGGCCTCACTGTGTCAAGATCCTCCTTCTTCAGCCTCTGAATAACCTGGATTCCAGTTGCACTGCACCCAGCTTTTTTTTAAAGAATGATTTTATTTAACTTTTAAAAAATTTATTACTATTATTATTATTTTCTAGTTTGATCAGAGAGAGACAGAGAAAGATAGAGAGGGAAAGTGAGAAAGCAAGCCACCAGGTTCGGAACTTGAACCATGGTTGGCCATGTCGGAGTCCAGGGCCCTTAACCACCACGCCACCTGCTGGCCCAGTCCCCAGCTTTTTTTAAAAGAGAGATTTCTGCTAGGGTGCATGTGTTTGCAGGAGATACAGAGAGAGAGAGAGAGAGAGAGAAATCACACCCCAGGGGGGATGGCCATGCTGCAATCCCTTCTCTATTCTCCTCTCGGGAGTCTGGGCATGCACACACATGTACCTGGCATGAGTTTTAAGTCGCCAGGTCTGAAGTTCAAACCACAGCTGACCATGTGGGAGTCCAGCAATATAATCTGCTGGGCCCCACCCAGGGTGGACCAGGCATGGAACCAGGCCTCCCACGTGGCCTCTGCCTGCTCCACATTTTCATCTAAGTACTTTCCCCTTAGTACACATCCCATCTATCGTTTTCTTTCTTTCTTTCTTTCTTTCTTTCTTTCTTTCTTTCTTTCTTTCTTTCTTTCTTTCTTTCTTTCTTTCTTCCTTCCTTCCTTCCTTCCTTTTTTTTTTTTTTTTTTTTTTTTTTTCTTTCTCTCTCTCTCTCTCTCTCTCCCCCTCCCTCCCTCCCTCCCTTCCTTTCTTCCTTCCTTTTCTTTCTTCTTTCTCTCTCTCTTTCTTTCTTTCTCCCCCCCCGCCCCCCATGCCATTGGATTGTGTCATTCTGGTTACTGCTCTTATTTCTCTTTTATGGGTCTGTCTTAACATTCAGTTCACTTTCTTTCATCAATCAGCTTAAGGAATCTTAACTATTTTTTTTTTTGGGGGGGGGAGGTTTTTGCTATAGGGTGCATGTGCTCGCCAGAAAGACAGAGACAGAGAGACAAAAAGTGAGAAATCATCCCCCGGGGGGATGGCCACGCTGCAATCCCTTCTCTTCCATTCTCTTCTCAGGATCTTGGGCACCCACACACACGTGCCTGGTGTGAGTTTAAGCCACCTGGACCAGGACTCAAACCGTAGTCAACTACATGGGAGTCCAGTGACATAGCCATTACGCTAACTGCTGGTCCCCACTACATTCAGCAGTTAGTGTGGTGGTTAAGGAGCTGGGTTCCACATGGCTGATCACAGTTCTAGTCCTGCACCTGGTGGCTTGAAAATCACAATAGATACATAAATAAATAATTTTTAAAAAAATGACACAGGTAGGGCGACAGGGTTGGCAGATGAGAGAAAGAAAGCCACCAGGTTTAGGACTCAAACTGCGGTTGACCATGTGGAAGTCCAGTTAACCATGTGGAAGTCCAGTGGCCTTAACCATCATACCACCTGCTGGCCCCCATATTAATTAATTTTTAAAAATAAATTTCAACATAAGGTAGACAACTGGAAAAGTAAATCTGTGGAGGGAGGAAAAGGTATAACATACAACTTGCATTTCAACCTAAGGAAGTGACTGGTAGATTACCATTTTTGATATCATTATCCCCCTCTTCAACAATACATTTTTTTTTTGAGAGGTTTTTTCACTATAGGGCGCGTGTGCTCGCCAGATAGAGAGAGACAGAGAGACAGAAAGCGAGAAATCAACCCACAGGGGGGATGGTCACGCTGCAATCCTTTCTCCTCCATTCTCCTCTTGGGATCTTGGGCACACACGCACACGCGCCCGGCGTGAGTTTTAAGCCACCAGGTCCAGGACGCGAACCACGGTCAACTACGTGGGAGTTCAGCGACATAGTCATTATGCTAACTGCTGGTTCCCAGCAATACATAATTTGAAAGTTGTATATAAGTAGATCCATTTATGAAGAGAGATAGACATGATAAATAGATAAGATATTGTAAGGCAGATAAAAATTATGAAGATCAAGGGCAGGGTAGGGGGAGACATATGTCCTGAAAGTTTCACAGAAATGTAAGTAACATTGTAACCCTGCTTTTCTTAGAATCTTAGCACTGAAAAACAGAAACTAATAGTTGCAGGGTAAGGATGAAGGGGTGGCGCATATGAAGTTGTGATAAGGGAAAAAGACCTCTAAAAATAAACCCAACCACATTCTACAAATCATAACTTTCAATGGTGATGTCCCAGATCAAGAACTTCCTTGGGTGCCAGCAGGTGGCGTGGAGGTTAAAATAGCTGGATTCCACATGGCCAATAGCATGGTTCGAGTCCCAGACCCAATGGCTTAAAAAACACGCTGGTTGTGGGGCCAGTAAATGGCATAGAGGTTATGTTGCTGGACTTCCACCTAGCTAACAGCAGTTTGAGTCTTGGACTTGGTGCCTTAAAACTCGTTCCAGGCATGTGTGTGAGCTTGCCCAAGATCCCAAGAGGAGAATGGAGAAGAGATTGTGGCATAGCCATCCCCACCCCCGGCAGGGGGGGTGATTTCTCACTTTCTCTCTCACTGTCTCAGTCTTTCCCTGGTGAGCTCACGTACCCTATGGCAAAAACATAAAAATCTCATTAAAAAAAAACTGCCAGTTGTGTGTGTGTTGAGTCCCAAATCCCAAGAGGAGAACAGAAGAAAAGAGACTGCGGCATGACCATGCCCCGGGGCAATGCCTTCTCTCCCTCTCCCTCTCTCTCTGGCAAGCTCATACATCCTACGACAAAATAAGCTGCTGTTGCTTCTTTTAAAAATAATTTTAATTTAATTTTATTTATTTATCATTATTATTGCTTAATTTTGCTATAGGACATGTGCACACACCAGAGAGACAGAGACAGAGAGGGAAAGTGGAAAAAAAAAAGCTGCTAGGACTAGAACAGTGGTCAGACACATGGAAGTCCAGCGCCTCAACCACCATGCCACCTGTTGGCCGTCCAAAAAGCTGCCTTTTTAAAATTTTTAAGAATTATTTTATTTAACTTTATGTGTTTATTTATTTTAATTTGACTAGAGAAGGACAGAGTGTGAAAGAGAGAGAGAGTGAGGGAAAGTGAGAAAGCGAGCCGCCAGGTTCAGGACTCAAACCACAGTCGGCCATGTGGGAGTCCAGCACCCTTACCCCCCGCGCCCCCTGCCAGCCCCCAAAAAAGCTTCTTAAAGCAAAATAAACAAAAGGATTCCATTCCAGCCTCTCAGTAGAGAAAGTCAAAAGGAGAAACTATTTTCATCTATAAGACTATAAGAGGCAGAACCTATAACCAATATAAATGACACTATCCTTCAAGCAAATGATAAATACCCAAGAGACCGCAAATAGGAAAGGGATGACCAAAATTTAATGAGTGTATCCTGGGTAGTTAAAAGGCAAGGATTAAAAGGTAAGCAAATTGGGAACCAGCAGTTAGCGTAATGGCTATGTCACTGGACTCCCACGTAGTCGACCACGGTTCGCATCCCGGATCCGGTGGCTTAAAACTCACACCGGGCACGTGTGCGTGCGTGCCCAAGATCCCGAGAGGAGAATGGAGGAGAAGGGATTGTGGCATGACCATCCTCCCTGGGGGGTGATTTCTTGCTTTCTGTCTCTATGTCTCTGTCTGTCTGGCGAGCGCATGCGCCCTATAGCGAAAACCTCTCAAAAAAAAAAAAAAAAAAAAAGAACTATAAGGTAAGCAAATTAATAAAGTCAGAGGGTGTGAAACCGAAAGATGTGAGAAAGGGCTAGATAAACAATTAACCGAGGAGGGTATGCCATTCTTTTTGTTGTTAAACCACCAGAGGGCATGTGTGTTTGCCAGTGAGAGGGAGAGAGAAAGATGGAGAGGAGAGAGAACCCTCAGTGGGGCATGGTCACACAGCACAATCCCTTCACCTCTCCACCTTGTTGGGATTTTGAGCATGCACACACATGTCTGGTGTGTTTCTGAAGTCACTGGGGTGGGATCTGAACTGTGGTTGGCCACGTAGGATCCAGTTCTCTTAATCATGAGGCTATGAAGCCAGCTTGAAGAACATATCATTCTGATTTTTAGAAAGTGTACTGCTAAATATCATCTTCTTTTTAGATTTTTACCATAGGGTGCGTGCGCTTGCTGGGGAGGGAGGGAGAGACACAAAGTGAGAAATCACCCCCTGAGGGAGATGGGCACATCTACAATCCCTTCTCCATTCTTCTCTCGGGATTTCAGGTACACACACATACAGGCCAGGCATGCTTTCCCCAGACACAGGTCTGAAACTCGAACCATGGCCATGTGGGATCCAGTTCCTTAATCACTACATCATTTGCAGGCCCATCCTGTTTTTTTTTTTTAAAGATTATTTCTTTCTTTTGTGAGACAGACAGACACACACACACACACACACACACACACACACACACCCCTCTGACAGGGCCTGGCCACGCTGTGATCCCTCCCTGAGCCTCCTAGCATCATAGGTATTCCTTATGTGAACCAGTCAACCTGGGACCCAAACCCTGGGCCTTCCTACATGGCTCCAGCATCACACAGTAGCACACCCAGTGCCCTAAGGTTGCATCTTTTTCCTTTATTTTGTAAAGTTTATTTATTTATTTTTTTCATATGCAAGAAAGACAGAGTGAGTTAAGTAACTTCAGCAGACCATACAAGGTCTTCAAAAAGTTCACAGAAATGTGTATTATGGGGACCAGCAGATGGTTACGTCACTGGACTCCCACATGGTTGACCATGGTCTGAATGTCAGACCTGGCAGCTTGATATTCACACCAGGAGTGTGTGCATGTGTGCCCAAAATCCTGAGAGGAAAATGAAGGAGAAGAGATTGCGGCATGGCCATCCCCCCTGAGGGGCGATTTCTCACTTTCTGTCTCTGCGGTGAGCACCTGCATCCTATAGGAAAAAACCTCTCTTAAAAAAGAAATGTGTATTGGGGTCAGCAGGTGGCATGGTGGTGGAAGACGCTGGACTCCCACATGGTCGACTGCAGTTCAAGTTCTGGACCAGGCAACTTGCTTTCTCACTGGTCAACTGCTCGCTCTCTCTCTCTGGTCAAATTAAAATAAATAAATAAATAAAGTTAAATAAAAGAATTCTTTAAAAAGAAATGTGTATTATGAAAAGCTATGCATGAACTTTAAAATTGCTTATACCAAAATAAACTTGTACTTTACTTCCATGTTTCCATGAGCTTGAAATCCTCTCGTATATTTAAGTCACTTTTTTCAGTCACATGCTGTACAGTAAGAATTGAGAGTATCTGGACCCGCAGCGGGTGTAACAGTTGTCGCTGGACTCCCATGCGTTGAGAGTATCTGGACCCGCAGCGGGTGTAACGGTTGTCGCTGGACTCCCATGCAGTTGACCACGATTCGTGTCCCGGACCCAGTGACTTAAAATCACACAGGGCGTGTGTGCGTGCTCAGGATCCCAAGGAGAATGGAGAAGAAGGGACTGAGGCGTAGCCCCCTTGCGGGGTTGATTTCTCGCTTTCTGTCTCTCTGTCGTCTCTGTCTGTCTATCCAGCAAGCGCACATGCCCTATAGCAAAAACCTCTCTTAAAAAAAAAAAAAAAGAGAAATGATCTTCTGCCAGATGCAACTCTGTCATGGGCAGCATTTTAAAACTCCCTTTAGTTCCAGATTACATTGCAAAATGTTTTTCAAACGCCTGACACACATAAACCACGCACGTCCCGGGGTGGCAGTCTCAGTCTCACCTACTCCCCCATTCTGCTGCTGGGGCTTGCTGGTTGGTGGAGCGGCTGCTGGGACCGGAGCAGAAACGACTTGCTGCTGTCCATGTCCTGAAGATGAAGAGGAAAAGGCCATGTCAGTGCAAATAAGGGATTCAAACTGAAGTAGAAGAAATACCCTGGGAAAGTGTAAATGTTTTATTTGGGCAAAGACCCACGGGGGTCAGAATTCACTCTGGGACGTGCCACTGCATGCAGTGAATTTGCTGCAGGTTCACTTTTTGTTTTCATTACATAAAAGGTTGGTTCCATTTACCTTTCACCTTACTTATAATTGATAGCTTTCGGTTTTAATGAGGTTCTCCCCTAAAGCCTTGCCTATTTCTCCTAGAAGAACCTGCAGTAAAGTCAGCGGGCTGAATCTGTGACATTTCCACTATTCCCATAGCAACAAATCGATGTCATCAACAGAAGCGTGTGCTCATGGCAGGGTCTATCAGAAGGAAAAGCTGGGTGGTGAGGAAACCTAAAAGCAGTTCAATTGTCTCTGAAGTGCTCTTGCTTCAAAGGATAAGGAGACATTCAGAAAGGATTCTACCCTTTCCCTCCCAAACAAAGCGGCCTTATTTTGCAACTGACAGTTGGTGGAAAATACGAGTTGAAAGAGTCTTAGGTGCCGTGAAGTGCTACTGTACTGTCACAGCAGGGAGAGAGGAGAATGGAGTTCAGAAGCGAGGGTGTCACGGAAACAGGAAGATTAAAGGGAAAGGAGGGGAAATGAGCATGTCTCTCAAGCAGAAAATAAGAGATGCCATACCACAGGAGTATTTATTTGCCCCTTACCCTTTAAATAAATGTGTATGAAGTTGATGAATGTTAAAATTGTAAAATACCAGCCTCCTTTTAAAAAAAAATTGCTATAGGGCACGCAGACGTGTAGGGTGCAGGGTGGGGGCAGGGAGAGGGACAGAGACAGACAAAAAGAAAGCACCTCCTGGGGGGGGTGGCCATGCCATAATCCCTTCTCCTCCATTCTCCTCTTGGGATACTTTTGGGCACACTTGAACATGCACCTGGCTTGTTTTTCAAGTTGCTGGGTCCAGGACTTGAACTGCACTGTTGGCTATGTGTGATCCAGCTACCTTAACCATCAGGAGGCTGTAGCACTCCACCTCATTCTAAAATTTTATTTATTTAATTCCACTTGTTATTATTTTTTAATTTGACCAGAGAGACAGAGAGAGAAAAAGGGAAAGGGTGAAAACAAGTTGCTAGGTCTGGGAGATTGGCCATGTGGGAATCCAGTGCCCTCAACCACCACATGACCTGCTGGCCCCCACCTCATTTTTAAAGAAACAGATTTAAGAAATTTGAGTTTGGGGACCAGCAGTTAGCATAATGGCTATGCTGCTGGACTCCCATGTAGTTGACCGTGGTTGGAGTCCCAGGTCCAGTGGCTTAAACTCACACCGGGCGCGTGTGCGTGCATGCCCAAGATCCTGAGAGGAGAATGGAGGAGAACAGATTGCGATGTGGCCATCCTCCCTGGGGGGGTGATTTCTTGCTTTCTGTCTCCCTGTCTCTCTCTCTCTGTCTGGCGAGCACACTCATCCCATAGCAAAAACTTCTCCCAAAAAGAAAAAGAAAAAAGAAATTTGAGTTTGACTTAGTGAAATCAAAGGTGGAAGGATACAAAGTAGCAAATATACAGGATGAACAAGTTGAAAGAGCTAATGTACAACATGAGAACTATGGTTAACAAAAGTGTACTGGGAAGGACCAGCAGTTGGCCTAACGGCTGTCGCTACACTCCCATGTAGTTGACCGCGGTTTGAGTCCCGGACCCAGTGGTTTAAACTCACGCCAGGCATGTGTGCATGTGTGCCCAAGATCCCGAGAGGAGAGAAGAATGGAGGAGAAGTTGTTACGGTGTGGACCTCCCCCTGGGGGGTGATTTCTCACTTTTTGTCTCTCTGGCAAGCGTGCGCACCCTATAGCAAAAACCTTCCCCAACCCCCAACCCCCCCAAAAAAATACTGGGAACCCAGTGGTTTAAACTCACGCCAGGCATGTGTGCATGTGTGCCCAAGATCCCGAGAGGAGAGAAGAATGGAGGAGAAGTTGTTACGGTGTGGACCTCCCCCTGGGGGGTGATTTCTCACTTTTTGTCTCTCTGGCAAGCGTGCGCACCCTATAGCAAAAACCTTCCCCAACCCCCAACCCCCCCAAAAAAATACTGGGACAGCTCCTTTGGCAAGCGTGCACACCCTATAGCAAAAACCTTCCCCACCCCCCAACCCCCCCCAAAAAATACTGGGCCAGCTCCTTAGCCTCGAGGTCAAGGGACCAGATCCACAGGTTGGCCAACTGTGGTTCAAATCCTGACCCCAGTGGCTTGAAAAACACCCAGGATCTTGTACATGGATGCCCCAAATCCTGACAGGATGGAGAAATGGAGAGGAATCCGTGACGAGACTAAGTCTCACTGAGGGGTGCTTTCTCTCTCTTGCATTTACTCGCTGGCAATTAAAAAAGTCGTAAGGCTAGAAGGTGGTGTGGCAGTTAAAGCACTGGATAAACATGGCTGGCTGAGTGGTTCCAGTCCCAGACCCAACACTTTAAAAATTACGCTGGGCACGTGCCCAAAATCCCGAGAGAAGAATGGAGAAGGGACTGCTGCATGGCCATACTCCATGGATTTCTCACCTCTGTCTCTCTCTGGCAAGAACACGGACCCTACAGCAAAACATATGAATAAATACATCAGTAAAATAATAATAGTGTATTGTATTTGAGATTTTTACTTAAATGTGGTGTATATCTGTTTATTCCACAGAAAGAAAAAAAAGAGGGGTAGCCACGTGAGAGGATGGATATACTAATTTGTTCCACTAGAGTAACCGTTTCATTGCACAGATACAGATACGTGCCTTATAACGTCAAGTTGTATACCTGAAATAGACATAATACATTTTGGGGGGAGGGGATCAACCTAATCTGGGCTGCTCACCAAGAGTGCTTGCAGCATACAAGGGCAGCTCAGAATAATTTCCTCAAGGGCCCTAAGAAGAAAAACGACTAGTGCAGCCGGGAAAGCTCCCCACCTGCTCCTCTATCTTCGATTGATCTCTAGGTCCGACTGTCGACTTTAAGTTCCTGCTGGGTTTTCCAAGGTCCTAACTCAAATGGGCACATTACACACCGATTTAATTGACTTCTGTCAATATTACTCTTAACTGGCACAACTAAATGAGAGGTAACTGTGCCATTAGAGGAAAACAAATTTAGCATAAAATTAAAATGGCTACATGGAATAGCTTATTCTTTAGTTCTTCCTATGGAGAGAAAAAATTGAGAGACATTATTTACAGAAAAAGAACCCAGACTACTGACAATGAAATTATTGTGTTTACTTTGTAGCTTTTCCATTATCTCTGAATTTACAAAGTACCATATAAAATTGCACGGGAGAATTGCTCTTTGACAACGAGTCTTGTGGAGAACAGTTCAAAATGCTACTGTGAACCTGTTTCTAAATTGGTAGGGAGAAGATGAGTTGCTCAGTACCTGGTAATGTGACTAAGTGGTTGGGGGAAAAAAAACAAAACTATCTTTACTTGCTTCATGAAATATACTGGAAAGAATAAACAAGGTTTAAGCTCTGAAAAATGAAACCATAGTAATATACTAACCCCTGCTACACTCTACTCCAGTTTCCCTCTCTCTTAATCTCAAAACTATATGAACTAGACAGTCCCTTCCTCGTGATCCTGTGTACTCCTTCAGGTGCCTCGTTAAACAGGACACGGCCACTGAATCGAGCTGATCACATATATTGCATTTCTATAAAAATGTGACAACCCTGAGGAGGTACCTAGGCCTGTCAGATTCCCAGACGGAAAGTAGATGAGGGGTCACCACAGGCTGACAGGAACGGGGAATGCAGTTACCTCTTAGTGGTGCAGAGTTGCAGTCTGGGATAATGAAAATGCGGTGATGGAACAGTGTGAATGGACGATGCCACTAACTGTACACTTAAAAATGAGTAAGTGCAGGGCCAGCCCATGGCATGGTGGTTAGGGTGGCTGAATGCAACATGGTTGAGAGCATGGTTCAAATCCGGGACCCAGTGGCTTGAAAAACATACCAGGTGCATGTGTGTGTGTGTATGCCCAAAAATCCCCAAAGAAAGGAAAAATGGAGGAGAAGGGACTGTGGCAGGACCATTCTCCATAAGGAGTACTGTTTCACCTGCCCCCATCCCAGCAAGCACACATGTCCTCTGGCAAAATTTAAAAAAAGAGGTTAAGCGTAAATTTCATGTTAGGTATATTTAACTACAATTTTAAAAAATTACCTATTCTAATTATTTTACCTATTTTAAGATGTACATGTCCCCCATGTTTAACATGTGAATTAAAACTAATGTGCTATAATTTCTTTATAGTTCAGCATAATATAATGTCTTACTGTCGTTGGACTCTTAGAATCAATTAAGTATAGTGTATTTAGCAAGTCTCCAATTAAGCCCTATGATGAATATTAATGATAGCTACCATTTCTGAGTGCCTCTATGCACCAATACTAGACTAAGTGCATAATTACAGTAATGGTAAGCCCTATGAGATAGATACTATTATTATACTCCCACCAGATGAGAAAACTGGGTGAGAAAGTGAAGGAACTTGTCAAAGTCACACAGCCGAGAAGAGGCAGCACCTAATCCCGAACTGATTTGTGGGACTAGATCCATTTACTTCACCACCATCTAGTTAACTTCTAATTGTACACAACCAATTCTGGCTGCCATAACTCTAATTATAAAGAGTTTAACTAAAAAACTTAATGTCTGGTAATTAGGAAAGCAGCTAACGCAATCCTTAACTCCTGCTTTGGACCATATTTGTAAATCTGGCACAAGAGACAAGAGCGAGACCCGAACTGAATGGAGAGCGAGAATCAGGGGGCATTCTACAGAACAGCTTCCTTCCTTCCTCCTTTTCTCTCTCTCCCTCTCTTTCCTTCTTTTAGACTTTTGCTAAATAATGTCGGACATGTATGCTTGCCAGAGAGACAGAAAGAGAGAAATCAACCTCGGGGGGGATGGCCAC